ACAGAACGGTGTGCAAATTAGGAGACTTCGGTCTCGCGATAAACACAAAAATAGTTAGTAAACTCGTTTTCATGCTTTTATCACAAAATAGTTCGGCGGGTTATGCATCCCTGGTTTACAGACATCTGCGGAGTATGCTGACGAGGGTGATCGTAATTATATGGCTCCAGAAGTTCTCAATGGACCTCCATCAACGGCGTCAGACATGTTCAGCCTGGGTGTCACCATGCTTGAGGTTTTTTCTAACGCAAAATATACTGCAAGATGTTTTCTTTTTACTTAGAGATATTACTGTTATAGCTGGCAACAAACGTTGATGTCGAGGCTGAACGATCAATAATTCGCCAAGGTTGCTTGCCAAAGTCGTGGTTTGAAGGAGTATCCATGACACTACGAGAAAAATTCGTTCGTCTCCTAAATGCTAAAGCAAGATGTCGCCCGACAGCAGGGAAACTCTTGAAAGAAATAAAGCCACTGAGCCTCGAAAGGGCTACCTTCAAATGCATGAGAGAGGTAAGGTCTAAAATAATGCAGCGAAATCAGTGGGCATGACTGTTTTCTATTCAGATTATCACTCCTTTTGACAAAGAATATTATATGGATAAGGATTGGGAATACGAATCTGAAGGTTTGTACCAGCTTCTTTGCTTTTCCAATATGAAAAATGGGACCTTTTCAGATGTTGTCTACCCTCCTTCTCTCAGGGCCAAGAGGAAATACGATAAGACTTTTATATCGCCTCCACTCAGGTGAGCTGAGATACCCATAGGATGTGAACCTGAATGATAGGACAGATATCGTATGAAATCGCAACATCTGCTTTTTCATAGGAAACGCTTGATCTTCGACGAGGACGATGATGGAATCGCTCCTAGTGCAGATGCAGACACAACACCACAAGCTCCAGCGCAGCCCTTCACTCGAGTGTTAGAGTTCAGCGGGTCTCCGCCACTCAAGAAGGCTAAAATATCTGTTTCTGCAAAATGATCCCATCCTCTTGTGATGTGCATGAATAGACATAGCTCGGAAATATGATGAATGCATCCAATAAGCAATTTTGCCATTGCGCCTGAATGCTGAATTTTTGAGGTAATTAATAATAATACTGCAACCTGAATGCATGAACGATGCCGGGTTTGGCCAATGAAGATAAAATCTTTCAAATTTCTATAATCAGATCTCATTCTTGATAAATCAATTTGCTCAGAAGCGTATTTGTCACATTGTGCTTGTTTTTGTTCTTTATGAAAATAAACATTTGCTGCGCCGACCAGATGACCGACGATCTTTGACTAGAATCCGCACATATGGATCACTTTCATGAAAATCTAATACAGCTTATATTTCGTTTAGTTTCTACATGAAAGAATGCTGTCAAAATTAGTTTCTAAAAAGACGAAGACGAAGTAGACGCAAACGCCATGAAAATCAGCAAAAGTACATA